CCCCCCACCCGCCGCCAGCATTTTTCTTTTTCAAGATTGTTTTGGCTATCTGAGGGCTTTTGTGATTCCATATGAATTTTAGGATGATTTTCTCAAGCTCTGTGAAGATTTCATGGGTATTTTGATTGGGATTGCATTGAGTCTATACATTGCTTTTAGTAAGATAGTCATTTTCACAATTTTGATTCTACCAATCCATGAGCATGGTAGGTATTTCTGTCTTCTAGTGTCTTCCTCTATGTCATTAGAATTTTGAAATTTTCATTGTAGAGATCTTTAAGGTTTTGCTTATGTTTATTCTTAAATATTTTATTTTTTAAGGCTATTGAGAATGGGAGAGTTTCTTCAAGTGTTTTTTCTGATTGCTTGTTATTGTTATATAAAGGCTACTGATTTTTATAAGTTGATTTTGTATCCTGCCACTTTACTGAAAGCACTAACCAATTCTAACAGTTTTCTAGTGGAATTTTTGGGCTCATATATATATATATATATATTACATCATCTGCAAATAGGGATAATTTGACCTCTTCTTTTCCTATTGGTACTCCTTTAATTTCCTTCTCTTATTGCTCTAGCAAGGGTTTCAAGCACTATATTGAAAAGGAGTGGAGATACTAGACAGACCTGTCTGGTTCCTGACTTTAATAGGAATTCTTCCAGTTTTTCTCCATTTAGGATGATATTGACTATACATTTGTTGCATACAGCTTGAATTATATTGAGGTATGTTCCCTCCAGACCAGCTCCTTCTAGAACTTTTAACATGAATGTATGTTGGTTTTGTCAAATGTCTTTTCTGCATCCACTGAGATGACCATGTGGTTTTTGTCTTTAAGTCCATTTATTTGTTTTCTTACATTTATTGATTTATTTATGTTGAACCATCCCTTCATCTCTGGAATAAAACCAACTTGATCATGCTGGATGATCTTTTTGATGTGTGTCTGTATGCAGTTTTCAAGCATCTTGTTGAGTATCTTTACATCTATGTTCATAAAGGATACAGATCTATAGTTTTATTTTTTGTTGTATCTTTACCTGGTTTGGGTATTAGAGTGATACTGGCTTCGTAGAAGGAGTCTGAGAGTTCTCCCTCTGTTTCTATCTTTTTGAATAATTTAATCAGTATTGGTTGTAGACTTTCTTTGACTATCTGGTAAAATTCTCTTGTGAATCCATCTGGGCCTGGGGTTCTTTTAGCTGGGAGGCTTTGTATTACTGTTTCAATTTCCTTATTTGTTATGGGTCTGTTTAGGCTGTTGATCTCCTCTTGGTTTAACTTTGTTGGTAGTCATGATTTTAAGAATTCATCCATTTCTTTTACGTTTTCAAATTTAATGGAGTATAGATTTTTAAAGTATCCCTGAAATGATGAATGGTTAATGAAAATGTGGTACATCTATTCAATGGACTTCTACTCAGCAGTAAAAAAAGATGAAATTTGCAGGTAAATGGATGGAGCTAGAAGGGTTATACTAAGCAAAGTAGCAAAAATGCAGAAAACCATGCAACATATGGTTTCTCTCATTCGTGGATTGCAGCACCAATCCCTTATATGCGAGTATACAAATTCTGATGCAACACCAGGAGCCAAGTAAAGTCAAAGGATACATGGAGGTAAAGGAAAAGAAACAAGATGAAAGGAGGATATTATGGAACAGATGTTAACTGAGGGAAGTGGAAAAAGTGAGAATAAGCAGGGAGGAGAGGAGGGAGGGACATGCAAGGGACCATAGTGTGGGGAAGCGAGGGAAGTCAGAAAAGGAAAGATGGAGGGAGTTGGGAGGTACTGGGGGAGAGTAGGGATAGTGGGGACACTGTGACTAGGAAGGAAGGGAGGAGGGAGGCTGGATGGGAGGAAAAGAGTAGAGGTGAGTGAATCTCGGGGGAAACCTAGAGGGAAAAGTGAGGCCCTAGACACCCTATGAGAAATGCACATAGAGTGTCTGAACATAATGTATATGTATACCTAGGAGCTGCTTGGTAGGGAATGCAGTGCCAGATAGAAGAGACCTCCCTTAAAGGAACAAACATGCCATACAGCACTCATCAAAGAAGATTCTTTTTGCAACAGATGGCTGCTACTGCAGAGTTGCATATCTGGTCAGGCACAGAGAACATATGCCTGGGAGATGCCCAGTACTAGGTGACACATCTGCAGTCAAATATCTACAATCAAGGCTCATGGAACAAGATCTGGCCAGGTTTTGGAGAATAATAGACTGTAGAGTGTAGGGTGGGACTCCTATATGGAACTCACCCACCCACGGCTCAGGGACCATTGCAAAAGAGGAGGCAGAAAGTTTGTAAAAGCCAGGGCTAGTTCATGAACACAAGGAGGTGGAGGCCTCCAGGCCACTGAAGGCTTGCTCATGTGAGCCTGTGGCAGCAGTGGTATTGAGCATGAGACCCATGTCAGCTCAATTAAATAAGGGACCAAAGGGGAGGTGAGAAATAGATAGATGGCAGGCCAGCATTAGATTGAGAGCTATTTAAGACTTATTGCTGCTGGGTGAGGGAGAGTATGAATTACATATGACAACTGGATGGGCTGACTAGACTCTAGTGGATGCATTTATACTGGAGGACATTTGGGTACAAACACCTGAATGAATAGGACTCAGCATGTATGGCAGAGTGCATAGAGCTCAGTGGAGGAATAGGGGGAGGCATAGATGGGGGAAATCTACCACTACAGAAATTTCCTAAAAGATATACATACATATATATATATATATATATATATATATATTATAAAAAGAGATTAAAAGGAGTTACCTTATAACAGAGGGACATTGATCTTACTAGACACCACAGACTAGCAAAGAAATCACACAAAGCTAGAAGTAGACTCTCTCTTTTGAACCTGTTAACTATGAGCCTTATAGACCATTAAACAACAAATGACCCTGCTCTTGATTACCCACCATAATTCCACAGTAAGGCCCTATTGTTGAAAACACCATATACATAAACTGTAGAACAAGTAAGGAAAAATCAAAGTGATACTGATACTGATACTGATTTTGAAGCCTCATGTTTACTGGCTAGCTTTCATAGTGCTGGAAGATGCTATGCGTGCTACCTGAATAGAAAATTAATCATCAACCTTATCTAGCTGTGAATTCTGTGAGCTACAACAACTGGCCTGGCAAAATATACACCCTAGCGCAATAGTGGCATGAGTATTATAGGAGTAACCAACCACTTTCTAATTGCACTTAAAGGTTCACTTTATAGGATGGAGCTCATACCTGACACTGATATCAGGCCTAGGTCACATGACACAGGGGAAAGTCTAATACTAATTTCCTGGTAAATAGATACAGCATTAAATGGAGACCAAAGGGCATATTGTCATATCCATAGATTAAAGCATCTCTCAACTCTCAGCATAGAAGCTTCCTTATATAGCAGATGGTGATTAACATGGAGAGCAATGACTGACCAACATGCAGAGGCTAAGAGGCTTCAGAGTTCTCATCCTTGAATAGGACAGCTATATCAAACTTCTTTCTCCCAAGGCTCAAGGATCATTGTAGAGGAAGGAGCAGGAAAATTGTAAGGGCTAAGTGGTGGATGACCACTAGGAACCAGTTTTCCAGATAGCTGATCAGTTGCTCATATGAACTCACAGCAATAGCAAAAGCATGCGCAAGTCCCATGTAATATCAAACCAGACAAAAATCCTTGTCCAGCCTAGACATGGACAAGTGATTAAGAAACATCAACCCCACTTAAGCAACTATTAGCACCTGATGTTTGCTGGGAGGGGAAGAGTCAAACAATTTCAAGGATTGGACTCTTGCTATATTAACCAGGTTCCAATGGACGAAGCCACACTGAAGGACATTTGGGGATACAAATTAGACTCTATAGGCATACACACACACACACACACACACACACACACATCACATACATACATATGTGTGTGCGTGCGTTTGTGTGTGTGTGTGTGTGTGTGTAAATTAAATTGCGTGGAGGTAGTAAGGGGAGGTGAGAATAGGGGAGGGGATCTCAGTATGAAAAATATATTGTATGAAAATTATATACACATTCAATAAAAAAGTAAAAAAGGGGTAGAGAATGTAAAAATAAAAATAAATAGGAAATTAATTACTCACAGGAAAAGAACCAGTTGGGGCAACTATCTTTGAACTGATTAGTTAAAACAGAAGATCCTTTTAGGGGGACTGCTGAACATAAGTTCTGAGAATCTTTCTAGCCTCTTGCTTCACCCTCATAAACTCAAAGAGTGTCAATGAAGCTGTAATCAAGAGGCCCCTGTCCTGCTCCTTCACCACATGGGGGAGCAGCACACAAACACAGAGGCACTAGCATTATGACTTTATCATTATGATGCAGTCCTATGCCATGTGGGTAAGGGATAAGTTGGTAATCCTCTCTTAGGATCATTTCTTCTTCCTCTTTTGGCCAGTTGGCAGGGAAAGGCCTGATGACAACCTGAAATCCAACCAAGCTTGTAGCTGTGGTGGCTGTTGAAGTCAACTCCAGCAAATCAAAGGCATCGATCATCTTCTTCAGGTAGTCCTCTTTTTCCAGTTCCCATCATGATAAACAGCTATCTAAAGTTTGAATTAAGTTGACACAAACTGGAAACAGCTGACAGCTTCTCACCACATTGCTGTAGTTAAAAGATCCTACTCCATCAGCACTCTTAAAAGTCAAGCAATTGTTTGCCAACGTATCATCTGCCAACCAGTCAACATTTGGGCAATCCTTCCTCAGCCAATCAAGCACAAAGTATGAGTCCATCAGATCCATGGCAAATGCACCCAAGTCACCCAGGTATGAAGCAATCGGAAACATGGCAACCATGCCCCATCTTCCCTAGTGTGAGACAATTATACAGAAGGCCCAGCATGAAGCTATCAGAGATGTGGGAGCCAGTGCCAAGGCAGTCAAGAACAAGTACTCATCAATTGGGTATAAGACAACCAGGCATGAAACAATCACAGACAAGCCAACCAGGTATGAGCCATTTAGATACAAAGCAACCAGGCACCACCCAGTCTGGGAAAAGCCAATCAGATACAAGTCAACCAAGTGCCACTCAATCAAGTACAACAAGCCCATTAGTTACAAGTCAGTCAGGGAGCACCCAATCAAGCACTAACAAATTAGATACAAGTAAATCAGGTGCCACCCAGTCGGGCACAAGCCAACAAGGAATGATAAGATCAGACACAGTGGAATCAGGCACAGGCCAACTAGAGGTGAGAGACACCTCATCAGAAACTAACCAAACAGACTCCAGTCAACCAGGAATAAGCCAATTAGTTCTAAGTAACCTAGAACGAAGCAAATCAAGCATGAGTGATCCAGCCAGGAGTCACCTAGAAATAATTCAAGCATTCATGAGAAAAACAAGCACTGCTCCTTTCCACATAAGATCTGCTGAGCCTGAAGACTGCCCAGATATCCTGCATCTGATTAAAGTAAGTTTATAGCTCCTTATTCTTTAGAAATTCATAGGATTAGTGTAGGGCTGAGAGAAAATAGTGATGAATAGTCATTTTAAATCTAGCTCTGTTAATTATGACCCATATACACAAAATTTTGGACTAATCAAATACATTTGATCTTCATTTTTCCATGTATAAATCAAGATTACATTAATTACTGCCCCCAAAGATTGTTGTAATGTTTTCTTTCATATGCATAACATTTATTTTTAAAAATGTGTGAGATATAGGTTGGGGAAATAGCTCAGTTGGTAAAGTGCTTCCAGAAGTTTGTTCACAGACATATCCCATGAGTCCAAGGAGCAGAGGAACAGTTTTCTTTAGCAAATGTTTCTTTTAATGCTTTTTCTAGAAACCATACCAGTGCAATAACAGTGATAATCTCATATTCATAGTTACCATGCTGAAATTTTGGTGCACTGAAGGCAATCATTTATGTGGTACATGATATGTATATAGTACTTAGCTTTGGCCTTTCTGTTCTTTAACAGATTTCTATCTTTTCTAACTCCTTTTCATTGCTAAGTTTGCAAAAACACTCTATGAAGTAACCTATTGGAGTTTCCCATCAAAATTCCTAAGTTGATTACGTGTTGAAAGTTCTTTTATTGTGCTGCCACCAAAATTATTTCATGTTATCTTCTGTGTGCAGCTATTTTATCTTAATCACATCACAGCATTGTTTGAAGATTTAATCATTTGCTAGGAAGCCATCACTGCTTTGCTTAAAAGACTTTCCATCTGAAATCTTTTATTTTGGTAGTCCTCAAAATGTGATTTTTGGACCACTTGAGATCCACAGATAAGTGCTGAACAGTACTTCTTTGTTTGTTTCTATAAACAACAGATGTATATTTGAGGAAGATCATGTGCTAAAGCCTTTAAAGGATATAGGAATTTTTTTAAGATTTTTTTTTATTGGTGTGTGTGTGTGTGTGCATGCGCCACAATGTATTTGTGGAGCTAAAAGGACAACTTGTGTCAGTTGATTCTCTCCTTGCACCTTGTGGATCCTGATGATTGAACTCAGGTCATCTGACTTGGCAGTAACTGGTTGAACCATCGTGTTGGTCCTGATATAGGGATTACTAAGTCATTATCTCTGCAGTAAAGAAGTTTATCATTTCTTAGAGGAGATATGCACATAAATAATTAATTCTCTCCCTGTCCATTTTTTTTTGGTCTGTTTGGGATAGGGTTTTACTGTCTCCCAGAGCTGGCCTGACATGCCCAACCCAATCTTTTTCTACATAGCAATCAAATTATTCAAAATACCTTGGGATTCTGGTATATTGAAAATGAAACCCGAACTTCTAAGGCTTTATATAATCTGGCACTTACTGTCTACCTGCTTACATATTATAAAAGCATTGTTTCACTATACATTTCATATAATTCCAATAAATCCCAAATTTACATTAGAAAAAAAATGAATTCACAAAAGAAGAGTAGGGAGATGATCATTACTGGATAGTATATAAGTAAAACATGGAAACTGATGGATAACTAGATCAATGAAAATTACTGAAAAGTCCAAAAGTTCTAGGAAGTATATTGAGAAAGTTGTGTTTAATATAAGAGATATATTAAGTCACTGAATAAAATATAGGTTATTTAATAAATGGCACTGGAATGACTTGGGGGAAAAGAGTGAAATTCTACGTCACTACTTACAGACACAAAAATATCCAAAGAAATAAATTAAGAGGATAAATCCAATACTCTGCACAATTAATATACTGCAATAAAAATAATAAAAGATTAAGGAAAAGAATGAATATTTTACAACCTTCCAAGCAAGAGAGAGAAATCACAAAAGAATTTGAATGTGCAAAAATTAATATAGTAAAAAGCCATAATTCAAAAAGCCTAAAGATAAACTGGCAAAAGCCATGTAACAGGCAAATACATGTTACAAACTTTTTTGTAAATTCCTAATATATAAGCTTTATGACATTTAACTTAAATTGCAGAAACGAGTTTAGCTTTACTTTTCAGGTTTCAGTTGTATGCAAAGCTAGTAAATAGAGAACTGACCTGCACGTGAGTGAGATTTTTAAAAAATCTGTGATTTCTCTTTCATCTGTCTATCATCTGTTTATCTATCTAATCTATCTATTTATAAGGTGTTTTGATCAAATCTCCCTCCCCTCCAACACCTCTCATATATCTCCATCACTTTTTTCCTGACAACTTCGTGTACCCTTCCTTCCTTCCTTCCTTCCTTCCTTCCTTCCTTCCTTCCTTCCTTCCTTCCTTCCTTCCTTCCTTCCTTCCTTCCTTCCTTCCTTCCTTCCTTCCTTCCTTCCTTCCTTCCTTCCTTCCTTCCTTCCTTCCTTCCTTCCTTCCTTCCTTCCTTCCTTCCTTCCTTCCTTCCTTCCTTCCTTCCTTCCTTCCTTCCTTCCTTCCTTCCTTCCTTCCTTCCTTCCTTCCTTCCTTCCTTCCTTCCTTCCTTCCTTCCTTCCTTCCTTCCTTCCTTCCTTCCTTCCTTCCTTCCTTCCTTCCTTCCTTCCTTCCTTCCTTCCTTCCTTCCTTCTTTCTCTTTCTTTCTAAAGGGGCTTTTGCTATTTAACATTCCCTGCCCTAAAGAGGTAACCCTAAAATCTTTTAGGAATTAGATAAGAGGTCTCAAATACTTTTGACATTTTTGGCCTTTGGAACAGAGTATTCTGCTAAGAGGCCCAAGGACATTTTTACTTTTAAACAAGAAACTTGCTAGTTTACTTCAGAGTCTTTTTACCCAACTGGCTAGCCGATTCCTACCTCCTATTCTTATCACCACCATCCTCTGAAGAGGTTGCCCCAATTATTGATAGGGAATCGGGACACAGACCACTCTGGCTTCTTCCATGCTGAACAGGAATGCAGGGTGAGGCAATTGGAGTACCCCTTCAGTGGGTCTATCCAAAAGACTCCCAAATTGGATAATTCTTCTCTGTAGGGAGGAAAGAAGGTCCTTGACTGGTGGATAGGGGATGTGAAGAAGCAGTAAAGGCAAGAGTACTTAGCATTAAAACTTCTAGACAGGGAACCAGCAAAAAGTCAGAACAGGACAAATTTCAAATATTCATATCAGAGTTCACTGGGATTTCTTAACAAAACCTTCCAAAAGCATCCCTCTTTTGGGTTCCTCATGATTTTTCTTTTGTCTGCCAAAGCTGGACTCAAGGGTGATGGACTCAGAATTTGTTTTCAAGCATTTTGATAGCTGTTGGAGTGTTTAGAATCAGTGTCAGTTCCCTCTCAGAGGCTTCTAGATAGGGGGAGAAAACAAATTTAGCCATCATTTTAGAATAACGGCTTGTCTCCCTTAGCTACAGGTGGGCTCTACAGTATTGCAGACCAAGATTTGAAGTCTTACATCTGAGCAGCACTTTCTGCCTAGAAACAAAATCATCAATGAGAAATAATTGTCTAACCTTTCACATGGACTTAAGCCTAAAGTCTGGGAAGTGTAATCCCTTGAACTCTTAAAGAAATATACTGATCACTTTAATCTTTTATACTTTCCTTTTGGGTTTTAAAGACCATATAGTTGGCCCAAATAAAGCAATTTATTTTTACTCTTCAGGTTGTTGGAGGATCTGTTCCTTAGGGGTCACATGGGCTTGGGAGGAGCCCTTGGCTCATTTCTTTTACCAATTCCATCTATGTGAAGATAAGTCAAAGGTCGTACTTGACCGTGGCTGGCTTCACTTGGAAGCATGGAGGAAATGCTTTCTCTGAGTTCACCCTCCTCTTTGTAGGATGGACACTGGTTCAAGTCCATTTGGTGGGGTCTCCATGGCTTCTCCAAACAGGAGGACAGGTGACTCACCACAGTTACAGGACATTTTGAGATATGCTCCATAGTCCCCGAGAACTTAGTCAACCTTGGAGGGCAAGTACCAAAACTTGTCCCTTAAGTCCCTCTGACCATATTACTATAGACCTCAAAGTATGGCTGTTAAACATCCAAGAAGGTTAATTCCACCAGTCTAGTACTTTCAATTACCATGTGATATGTAGATAAAGTTTGGTCAAAAACCAAATGTTCTCAGATAAACCTTGACTAGACATATATTTTGTTCCTTAGTTGACTAAACTATGACCTTAGAAATTTTAATATTATGTGTATATTTGTGTATATTTTGTGTCATTCTTTATATATCATAGCAAACCTACACAGACACTCATCACTAGCTTAGGCTTTCTCATTTTTTCTATTTATTTTGGAAAATATCTCCATTCCCATACCCTTTTAACACCTTTTCTTTCTAATTTTCTTTTTTAATGAGACATAATAACATTAACAAATGAATTTTCCATCTGTTGTGAGAATTGTTTTCCTGGGGATACTAAGCAATGCTTATCCCCTTTTAAGGTTCTAGTGTCAAACCAATGTTTGATTAAAGTTTTCCTGGGGAACCAATGAATTTACTGAGCTTACTTACACAGATGACTGAGGGGTTGATGAGGTGTATGAGTGACCTGGGGGTATGCACACTGGAAAGCCATTTCCCAGCATGGATCAAGCCTTCTCTTTCTTGCCTTCCCCAGATTATATACTTCAGTCTTCCCCTAATCCAGGAGTTCATGTGTGATTAGGGCCAAATTACATATAGTTGGCTGGGAAGAGTGGCTGGATACTCCGGTGAGGGTCCAATGAACCTGCATGGCCCTCCTTTAATGAAGGAGCACAACTGTCAACAACCCCAATTGTGACTATGTTTAGCAAGCAGGCATGGCTGAAGTTGAGCTAATGGTAGTTATTTCATGTAGAAGATACTGCTGTACAGAATCATCTTATTAAAAGAACATGGAATATATGGAATATAAGAGGATTTGATGCTAGGATCCACAAATGAGGGAGAACATACGTCTTTTGTTTTTCTGAGTCTATGTTACTTAACTTAGTATAACAGTTTCTAGATTCATCCATTTACCTGCAAATTTCATTATTTCAGCTTTCTTTACTGATGACTAGAACTCCA